CCAGATGGACGGTTCAGCCTCAATCGGCGGGCGGCAGCTTCAAGAGCGCCGCCAGGCCCAAACGAAGTGTCGTTTGGGCCTACCCGATGGGTGATCTCCAAAATCAGACCTTTAGGGCCTGTAACCCCAAAGGTCGGGCCTTTAGGCCCTGGTGTGTTCCTCCGGCCCTAAGTCGGGTCCGGTAGGACCCGTGTGAGTCGAAGATGTAACACCAGGTGTCAGGCGAGGTGGCTGTTCAGGAAACAGATAAGATAGGGGATTGCGAATTTTCCACCCAAGGTGCAGCCGGTTAGGTGCCGGTGGAGGAGTGTATGGAGTTGTTGTACAACCCCTGCACGATCGGCAATTCCTCATCCTAAGAATTCTGATCAGGCACAATTAGAGCTTGGAGAAGTTGGATCACAATCTGGTTGATCTCCTCGGCCAGTCCATTGGCTTCGGGATGTCGACCAGACGTCACCTTGAGTTTGATGTCATAGATCTGGGAGGTGAAGTCCTTCCAATCTGCACTTATGAACCTAGTGTCCTGGTCACTCACGAGCGTTTCGAGGGTCCATACTGCATAATATACTTTTTGTGAAACTCTTTGATCACAAGGTCAGTTGGGGCGTGAGGTGGTAATGGGATCAAATTCAGAAATTTTGAAAAGTGGTCAACGATTACCATTACTTGCGAATATCCATTCCTACTCTTCTTCCCCATGTCCGTGAAGGCGGTGGAAAGAGACTCACCCGGACCATCAGGAATAGGAAGAGGATGCAGTAGCCCATAGGGCTTCTACCGAGATGGTTTGATGCATTGACAGACTTCACACTCAGCCACAAACTTTCATGCCATTCCTTTCATTCTAGGCCATACAATGCAGCAGACTTTCGTATGTCTTCTCAAAACCGAAGTGTCCACTCCGGCCATGAGCCAAGTCCAAGAAGTGAGTAAGGATCGGCTCATGGTTGGGTACACACAGTCGGTCGTGCTTCCCATAACGTCGGAAAAGTAAGCCCTTACATTCATGGAAATCAGACTGACTGCTAGGGTCAGTCCAAATCTGCTCAAGGATGGGACTTAGTTCCGGGTCCTTGGCAGTATGCTGAATGAGTTCCTCCTTCAAATTCTTACGAAGATCATAGGAACCCACAAGACAAGTTATGTACTCAGGGTGGCGAGACAAAGCATTCGCAACGCGATTGTAGCAACCTTTCTTGTACCTAAGTTCGAAATCATACACATCAATCTCATGCAGCCAGCGGGTCGGTGTAATTGAGGGATTGGTCTGTGTTTGAATCCATTTCAAGGTCTCGTGGTCTGAGAACACTTTGAAATGGCAACCCAAGAGGTAGTGCTTCCAATGATCTAGAGCCTCTCTCAAGGCATATAGCTCTCGCATGTAAGTGGAGGCAGCTACCTTGTGACTGCAACTGACAGGGCATGCATTTGCTGTAGAATTCGAACGGACGTAAGCCGTCGCCATCATCTTGCTGCAGCACTGCACCAATCCCATACAAGCTGGCATCCGTAGTTACTACGAATGTAAGTTTGGGATCTGCAATGCGGAGTACCGGATGACTCGCCAAAACCTCCTTCAATGCTTGGAAGGTTGTTGTTCATTCCTCATTCCATGTGTAGGATACATTCTTGCTTGTCAATTTGGATAGTGGTCGGGCAATGATAGAGAAGTTGGGTACAAACAGTAGTATGACACAAAACCAAGAAAAAAACGCAACTTGCGGACATTCGCCGGTTGAGGCCATTTGCGAATGACCTCAACTTTGGTTGCCTCGGGCTCTAGGCCCGCAGCAGACAACCAATGTCCAAGGCAGATGACGTTGTCCCTCCCAAACTCAAATTTCTCCAAGTTGAGATGGAGCTGCGCATCCTTGAGGATTTGTAACACTTCCTCAAGATGTCTCATGTGCTCCTCCATCGACTTGCTGAAGATTAGTATGTCATTCAAATACACAACAACCAATCGGTTGATCTGATTGCGGAACACCTTGTCCATGAGACTTTGGAAGGTGGTCGGTGCATTCATGAGTCTGAAGGGCATGACAGTAAACTCGTACAGCCCGTCGCGAGTTTTCAATGCAGTTTTGTGTTGGTCTGAAGGGTCGACTTCAATCTGGTGGTAGACAGACTTGAGATCGATCTTGTCGAAGCCCTCGCACCCACCTCCAGCATCAAGCAGATCATCAATACGTGGCAAAGGATATGCATTCTTTCTTGTTATTCTATTCAGTCTGCGGTATTCGATACGCATCCGTAGTTTGCCTCCTTTCTTCGGGACAAACAGAACCGGTGCACCGAATTCGGATTCGCTTGGCTTGATCCATCCCTTCCCAATCATGTCATCGATCTGTCTTCGCAACTCCTCCAATTCGCCTGAGCCCATTCGATAAACATAGCCTTTTGGAGTAGTGCTACCTTTTATCAACTCGATCTTGTGTCGGACCGGACGCACGGGAACTCCATGCGGTTCGGCCAAGACTTCAGGAAATCGGTTGAGAAGGTTGCGGATTTCTGATGGGACTTCCGGAGGTGGATCATCACTTTCAAGTGCAAGCATACCGGATTGCATAGGTGTAGCCAAAACAACAGAATTGGAAGCAGAGTCGTTTGGACTAGAAGTAGATTTAGTAGAGGTAGAAGTGGTTGCATTAGAGGTAGAAACGACATGCAAAGTAGAATCATTATGTACAACAAAAATAGAAGGCACATGAGCAGACCTAACAAAGGCTATATACATTTGCTCATCAACTTTGCGTCTGCTCCACTTTTTGCAGAATTGCATTGCATTGAGAAAAGTTACTTGGGACTCGTGCGGCTCATCAAGAAGGACTGGACGCTCGATTCCCATGGCATCTTTGACCATGAATTGTGAGTCCTTCCATATGGTTCTTTCACATTGGGTCTGTAACCAGTCCAAGTCAATAACCGCGTCGAAGGGGCACTGATCAAGGACAGAAAAATTCAACTCATGCGTGATTGTGCGGTCTGCGTCAAAGGTAGTGCGCACACCTTTGACAGCATGCGTAGATGTGACAACCTGTTGGTTGCCCACTTGCATCCGACAAGGATTCTGCAAAGTCACTTGCTTCATTCCCAAGCGTGCCTCACGAATGTCATGCGGTGAGAAGTAGTTGGCGTTTGCGCCACAATCAGCCAACGTACGAATGTAACGGCCGTTAATGCGGAGTTTGAAGAAGATCAACTTCATTTTCCCTTGCGCGCGTTCTTGCTTCATGTGAGCCCAGCGCGACAAGAGAGCGTGGAAGTCGATTTCTTCCGACTCCACCCAAGGCT